GTGTACTAAAAGTAACCGCTATCCTAACTTTTATAATAGTCATCTTGTTGCATTTCTTTACATTTCGTTACTGAAGTGTGTATCCCTAGACTCTAGTTTAGCCTTGTTTTTTTAAATATTATGTTTTAAGTCTCTCTTAATCTGTAATCCTCCCCTTGCCCATCACTTTCTTTTCTTGACCTTTTATCTGTAGAGTTTTCCATAGTCCCAAGTTTTGCTGTTGCATGGTATGGTTCATCTTTTTTCTGCCCTTTGAATTTCTTTCATGTGAATTTAGAGGTTTATTCAGATCCAGGTTCAATACCTTTGGCAAGGCTATAGGGAACATATCAGGAGGCACATCATTTGTGGCTGATTCTCTTTTTTGGGGTGTTAGCAGCTGTTAATACTCAGTGCCTAGATACATTAACTCCAAAATGGTGGTGTTTTAATTTCATGATTTCTCTTTCAGCTATTGGTTGAACTCTTTCTGTAAAGAAACACTTTCTTTTATCTATATTTTGGTTAACCAGCAATTTAGGTCAGTTTTCCCAGTGATGAGCCTACTTCCTGTCATCCCATGAAGGTGACTGATTTTTTAAAGTGTCGTTATGAATGCATGTATTTAAACATATTCAACATTTTCTAATCCATCGCAGATCATATTTTTTTGAAGTTAAAATTTCTCATCTTTGGTCAAAGGGAGGCTTTTCAAGTTATTTCCTGAGTTCTTTTGATATAACTGTAGTAATCTTCGCTATCTGGTATAGGGAGATATACCAGACTCATCAGAAAGTCTTGTGCATTGCCTAGCCACAGCCTTGAAACAGCTATTTTTCTTTTCTTTTTTTTTTTCTTTCTTTTTTTAAGATTTATTTATTTTTTTATTTGAGATAGGGAGGGAGAGAGAGCATGAGCAGGTGGGAGTGGCAGAGGGAGAGGGAAAAGCAGGTTCCTTGATGAGCAGGGAGCCCCACGCAGAGCTCTATCCCAGGACCCTGAGATCATGACCTGAGCTGAAGGCAAACACTTAACCGACTGAGCCACCCAGGTGCCTGGAACAGCTATTTCTCCAAGAAGTTCTCATTCCTATTAGTACCAAATGGTGTTGCAAACCATCGTCTGGGGTGCTGAGGATATCTGCTACTGGATTTGTACTGTTTCGATGTCTTTCCAGTGAATAGGATTAGGGAATATTTACATATTTTTAGAGGTAAAGTACCTCAAGAGTTCCTACTGGTGTTTTCAATTTAAATTCAGTGCTAAACAATTTTTACCTAGCTTTTTCTATATTACATACGTATCTCCTTTCTTCCACACCAACAATCCCGGTTCTCAAAGACCCAGGGGATGATATGTATGTTTCATAATTACTTGTGTGCTTTATCCTGCCAATCTCAGAATAACAGTACTAATACCACCATCACCAGTACCTACTGGAAAGTTAATTGTTTTTCACTTGCTCTCCCCATCCTCCCCCACTTTTAAATACATTGTATTATATTGACATCGTCAGCGGATATAGCCTTAACACATTCTCCCTTTTGAACACATACTTTCCCTTTTACCTCTGACTTCCACAAATAGCTATATATTTTCTGCTCACAAGCAATTTGTAAAGATTTTATTTATTCATTTGACAGAGAGAGAGACAGCGAGAGCAGGAACACAAGCAGGGGGAGTGGGAGAGGGAGAAGCAGGCTTCCCGCCGAGCAGGGAGCCCGATGCGG